TCTTTCTTTCTTTCTTTCTTTCTTTCTTTCTTTCTTTCTTTCTTTCTTTTCTTTCTTTTCTTTCTTTTCTTTCTTTCAAGCTCATCAGCTATCATTAGTGTTAGTGTATTTTATGTGTGGCCCAAGACAATTCTTCTTCCTCCAATGTGGCCCAGGGAAGCCAAAAGATTGGACACCCCTGTTCTAGCCTGTTAAGTGTTGTTGGGAGATAGCTCTTCAGGGGGCAACCACTCCTTTCCGACATGAACCAAAGAGCGGATTAAATGTTGCAGTCTGGATGGAGAGGGTTTCCTGATGAAGCAGTCTCGCTGACCAAGCAGAATAATTTTATTATATACCTAATATTGGAGAAAGCTTGGAGAACCAATCATGCCAGTCAGAAGTGAGAAAGAAACACTTCCGGGAAGAAGGAAAATCAATACAACCTTTTTGGAAGGCAGTAGGCAATGCACATCAGTCATTAGTTAGGATTACTTTTTTTTTTTTAGTGTTTTAAAATATACAAATGACAGAAAGCCTGACTAGCAGTGTTTAGCTAATACACGTATTTTATAACCCCAGGCATTGGTGATGACAACTTTGGCACATCAGTTGATGGTCCCATTGAGCCTCAGTGATGTCGTCAGGGACCTGGCGCCTTTCCTCCCATACTGCCATCCTCAGCATGTCAGCCTTCGGTCCCCAAGTTTAGCAGCTCCAAGTGTTTTTGTCTTCACCTTTGCATAAAATGCCAGGAGAAAAGGGGCTTTCCTTTCATCAAATTACTCCCAGCAATATTCTCTCTATTGCTCATTAGCTAAAATAGGCCCTGTGCTCCCCACCAGCCCTTGCCCCATTTCAAGAGATCCAGAGAAAGCAAGTCTCCCACAAAAGGAAATGGGATCATCACAGTTGGCTTAGGCCTGTCGTAATTCATCCCTTGGAGGCCGGTATGTTGTTGCCGCAAACAAAACTGAAAAGACCAAAGAGATTTTCTTAGCACAGAGGAAGGGAGGGCCTGTTTTATAGGCCACCAACTGAGTCTGTCACAGCTTTAAGATGTGTATGTCAGCTGGGCGCCGTGGTTCACGCCTGTAATCCCAGCACTTTGGGAGGCCAAGGCGGGTGGATCACGAGGTCAGGAGATTGAGACTATCCTGGCTAACACTGTGAAACCCTGTCTCTACTAAAAATACAGAAAATTAGCCGGGCGTGATGGCGTGCACCTGTAGTCCCAGCTACTAGGGAGGCTGAGGCAGGAGAATGGCATGAACCCAGGAGGCAGAGCTGGCAGTGAACCGAGATCGTGCCACTGCACTCCAGCCTGGGTGACAGTGAGACTCTGTCTAAAAAAAAAAAAAAAAAAAAAAAAAAAGATGTGTATGTCATTTGGTCTACCCTTTCTAGTCCTAGAAATTTATCTGGAAGCTAATCATGGTGCAACACAAAGGTTTAGCTCCAAGGATCATCATTGCAGTGATTTTTAAGGTAGTAAAACATTGAAAATATTTAAATACCTAATAATAAAGGATTATTTATGTAAGCAATGCTCTTCCACACAGTGGATTAGTGTTAGGGCATGAAACATAATGTAGAAGACGATTTCATGATATGGAAAACATCCATGATGTAATATTAAGTGAAAAAAGCAGGTTACAACCCCATATTTAACGTGAGTCCAAATTTGTAGAATATTTCTATACCACCAAAATTATGTATTTCTTTTTTATTAATTTCCATTTTTATTTTAGATTCAGGGGATACATGTACAGGTTTGTTAAAAGGGTATATTGTATGGTGCTGACATTTGAGCCTCTATTGATCCCGTCACCCAAGTAGTAAACATAGTAACCAATAGGGAGTTTTTCACTCCTTGCCCCCTTCCCCCCTCCCCTTTCAGAGTCCTCTGTGTCTATTGTTCCCATCTTTATGTCTGTGTGAACCCAAGATTTAACTCCCACTTATAAGTGAGAACATGTGGTATTTGGTTTTCTATTTTTGCATTAGTTCATTTAGGATAATGGCCTCCAGCTGCATCCATGTTGCTGCAAAGGACATAATTTAGTTCTCTTTTATGGCTGAGAGCGCGTGCGCTTTACATGGGACACAGTGTCCATCGTCAGCACCCTCAGTTCCTTCAGAAGGAGTGGGTTACATTTTCTTTCAGTATTTAGTAGAACTGGGTTTGCCTTCAGCTCACTTATGGTGGAGGCTGTGGATACTGTCAGTTGCTAGCCCGTCTCCATTCCCTTGTATGGAATAAAGAAAGAGAGATAAAAAGGAAGGAATAGAAGTAAGAAAGAAGGAATGTAGAAAGGAAGGAAGGAAGGAGGGGGAGGGAGAGAGGGAAGGAAGAAATAAAGGAAGTGAAAGGAGAGTGAAAAACCAACTCGTTTGTAGCAGCAACATGCCACCCCCTAGTGTTTCTTTACCTTAATTTTATTCTCTGTGTTGTTGAAATAGTCCATGATTAACCTGTTACCTTTTATCCTAACTCTTCATTCTGAAAAATTTCAAATCTACAGAAAAATGTAGTTGTAAGTCTAAACACCAATTTTTATCCTTTAGCTATATTTGCTTTATATCTCTCTATACGAATACTTACGGGTATGTGTGTGTGACTGAGCTAATTGAGGATTAATTAAAGGCTTCATGACACTTTGCCTCTAAATATTCAACAAGTAAGACAAAAGATATTCTTCTATATAAACATAATATAATCATCACCCTCATGAAATTAAGCATTTATACAATATTCTTTTCTTTCTTTCTTTCCTTCTTTTTTTTTTTTTGAGATGGAGTCTCACTGTGATGCCCAGGCTAGAGTGCAATGGCTCACTGCAACCTCCACCTCCTGGGTTCAACAGTTCTCCTGCTGAGAGCAGCTGGGATTGCAGGTGCCCACCACCATGCTGGCTGATTTTTGTATTTTTAGTAGAGATGGGGTTTCACCATGTTGGCCAGGCTGGTCTCGAACTCCTGACCTCAAGTGATCCGCCTGCCTCAGCCTCCTGGAGTGCTGGGATTACAGGTGTGAGCCACAGTGTCCGGCCAATATTATTTTCTAATGCGCAGTCCATATTCAAAATTTCCCACTTGCCGCATGTCTTAGGCAGTTTGGGCTATTGTAACAGAGTTAATAGATTGGGTGGCTTGAATAACAAACATTTATTTCTCACAGTCCTGGAAGCTGGGAAGTCCGAAATCAAGGTCCTGGAAGATTCAGTGTTTGGTGAGGGACTGCTTCCTGGTTCATAGCCATCTTCTTGGCTGCAACCTCACGTGGCAGAAGGAGAGCTACAGTGTTCCTTCAAGCCTCTTTTATAAGGGCACTAATCCCACCATGAGGGTTCCCCCCTCATGGCCTAATCACCTTCCAAAGGCCCCACCTCCTCATAACATCACATTGGGGGTTAGGATTTCAACATACGAATTTTGGGGGGAACACAAACCTTGAGTCCATAACACCCCAATAATGTCCTCTGTGGCTGCTGCTGTTGTTCCAGGATCCAGCTGAGGACCAAGCGGTGCCTTTAGCTGTCCTGTGTCGTCAGTGCCCTTTCATCACATTTGCTCAGTTATTTGTTTACATGGCACTGACAGTGTACACCAGTTATTTTGCTAAACACTCCTCAATTAGGATTTGTATGATTGTCTCCCCATAACTAGATTCAGGCTAAATACTTTTGGCATTATAGCACAAACTTTTATGTACTTTAAAAACTTTTGAAGAACAGTTTTTAATTGTTGCATTCTATTTCAATAAGTGTTTCTACCATAATTTGATCAATACTTCCCTCATATTATGGGATGTTTAAATTGTTTCAGAATTTAATCCATTATGAATAACAGTTGGGTGAACAGCTTTGCACAAAACGTTTTTGTTTCTGTTATTTCACATTCTTTCCCTATTTGTGTATTCTTATTGAGTTAGCATGTAACTTTATGAAATAATTATCTTAAGTACCCCTACTTGGGATCTCACATGGTTTCAATTTTTCTTAAAAGATAGACTCATTTTTTTCTCTAGACAATACTCATTTTTTCACTTCTGACCCCGAAGAAGTGAGAACACTGGAATCTTTCCTCACTGTGACTATATAACCTCTCTCTCTCTCTGTCAGCATCTGTGTATATTGATCACCCATGTCTTCAGAGAGACGCTTTTCTACCTTCTGTTTCTATCTGCCACTCAGGACCCTAAGGGATACAGGTAGAAAGAGAAGTGCCAATATTTTCAAATATTAAGCATGGCTTGTTGGAGACTATGTGTGACTGTGGTCCCAGCGTGGTGAACTGTAAGGAGTCATCAAAGGAGCAGTCTCTGGGGAAAGATGCCTACGACACGAATATTTTGAAACATCAGAATTTAATGCCATTTGCTTTTTGAGGAACACTGACCAACAGAACATTCTGAGATCATGGAAATATCCCGTGTCTGTGCCATCCAATATGGTAGTCACTAGCCATATGGAATTATGGAACACTTGGAATGTGGTCAGCATAACAAAGAAACTACATCTTTAATTTAATTTGGTGCAAATTTAAGTGCTACGTCTACCTAGTGCCTTCTGTATTGGACAAAAAGTTTCGCTAGCATTTGTTGCTGTTTGTTTCTGATCTTCCCTTTATTTCTTACTTTTCAGGGAAGTTCTAATTTTGATGGACCTCAGGGAGAACCTGGAAATGTCGGCCCTTGGGTAGGTGTTAACAGCCGGAGGGACGTATTTCCCCTGCCTTTGTGGAAGAGGATGGTAGGCTGGGGTGAAAATTGGTCTATATCCTTCTCTAAGGTCTCTGCTTTCCATTTTTCTTAGGGGACAATAGGAAGGCGAGGTCTGCCAGGATTAAAGGTCAGTGCTTTCTGGAAAGAGTTGCTCTTTTTTCCACACATATGACTACTGTATTTATTATTGATACATGATATCTGCATGTATTTATGGGGTACATGTGATTTTTGATACATACATAGAACATATAATGATCACACCCAGGTATTTAGGACATCTATCACCTCAAACATTTATTATTTCTTTATATTGGGAACATTTCAAATATTCTCTTCTAGCTATTTTGAAATGTACAATGTATTGTTGTTAACTATAGTCACCCTACTATACTATCACACACTAGAACTTATTCTTTCTATGTGACTGTATGTTTTACCCATTAACCAACCTCCTTTCATTCTCCCTACCCCCAACACCCTTCTCAGCCTCTGATAACTATCATTCTACTCTCTACCTCATGAGATCAACTTTTTTAGCTCTCATGTGTGAGAGAGAATTTGTGATATTTGTCTTTCTGTGCCTGACTTATCTACTCAACATAATGACTTTTAGTTCCATCCATGTTGCTGCCAATAACAGGATTTCATTCTCCTTTGTGGCTGAATATTATTTCACTGTGTATATGTATCGCATTTTCTTTATCTGCTCATCTGTTGGTGGAAACTTAGGTTGATTCCACATGTTTGCTATTGTGAATAGTGCTGCAATAAGCACGGGGGTACAGGTAACCCTTTGATATACTAACTTTCTTTTCTTTGGGTAAATGCCCATTAGTGGGATTTGTGGATCATATGGTAGTTCTATTTTTAACTTTTTGGGAAATCTCTATATTGTTTTCCATAATGACTGTATGAACTTATATTCTTACCAAAAATACGTATCCCTTTTCTCTGCATCTTTGCTAGCATTTGTTGTTTTCTGTATTTTTGATAAAAACTATTCTAACTGGTATAAGATAATATCTCATTGTGGTTTTCATCATCAGTGATGTTAAACATTTTTTCATATACCTATTGGCCATTTGTATATCTTTTGAGAAATGTCAGTTCAGATATTTTGCCCACTTTTTAATGGGATTGCTTTTTTTGCAATTGAATTGTTTGTTCCTTGTATATGCTAGATATTAATCCCTTGTCAGGTGAATAGTTTGCATGTATTTCCTCCCATTCAACAGGTTGTCTCTTCACTCTGCTCATTTTTTTGTTTGTTTGTTTGTTTTGTTTTTGTTTTTCGGTTCAGAAGCTTTTCATTTAATATAGTCCCATTGTCTATCTTTTATGGCTTTAAATTGTTCTCTCTGAGGTCAAGGGGAGTGCTGGCTGGGCTGTCTGAGGTTGCTTGAGGTTCACTGAAAGTTTCCATGGTGATTTTTTTTTCCATGCAAAACGGAAAGTTTGTATGGTTCTCTGCCTCCTCCCCACTCTGCTATAAAGTTTCATTTAGATTGAAAAGAAGCTAATATCCTAATATCTTAGAGTAGGGCTTTCATTTCTATTTTTTATTTCATTTATTTCTGTTTCATTGTTCTATCTGCCTATTTTTATACCAGTACCATGCTGTTTTGGTGACTATGGCCTTATAGTATAGTTGATTTTTAAAATAAGAGATATAATTACAAATATTTGCAGGCTTCAGGATGAACTGGGTTTATCCACCATGTCAGTGGTTTGCTAGTTGACTCAACATTGGAGCACTGGTCATATAGGCCCACAACTCCAAATTACAGCATTCCTTGGACTTTGGGAAAATATGGCTCAATTAGATCTGCTGGCCTTTGCAAGACATATAATAAAGTAGAATTCTAAATAAACGTTTATTTATGGAAAAGGTTATATTTATGCCAAACAAATTGATGCATACATTTTTTGGCAATAAGGCAAAATTTTAAATTTGCTGTTGATGATAAAATTGAGAATATTATTAATTTTTTTAAAGGTACATAAACCCACCACCCCTGTGCAAGTATTTTCATGTTTTTCTGTTCTCTTGTATAAAAAATAGAGGATTATTACAGTGTATGTAACATTTTATATTCTGCTTTTTCCTGTTTCCAAATCTCTCTATTATCATTTTAGAACATTATATTTTACTCTATTGAAGTACCATGATTTACTAATCTTTCTTATGTTGAGCGTTTAAGTAATTTCTGTTTTGTTGGGTATCATGGTAATTGATGTGAAGAACATCAGAGATGTGTATTATAGGTTTTTTGTTTTGTTTTCACTTTTGCTCCACTCAAATTATTTTCTTACTATAAATGTATAAGCATAGAGTTATGATGGAGTCTGAACATTGCTATATATAGCCACATTGTTTTTATAAATGTTGCACTATGAATATCACTAATGTGATATGCAAATTAGACCACATTTCATAACCTGGTTCAAAATTTCTAGCTGTATTCCTTTTAAAATTTGGTTCATATTTATAAATCTAGAAATCAACCTTAAAGAGTGGAATAACATAACAGGAATGATTAATAGAAGTACTGAATAGTTTCAAAAACTGATGAAGCACAAGTAATTGATCCATATATTGATTGAATTCTGACTTTGAAGTTTTTGCTCTTTGCATAGCTATGAATAATTAATAATCTAGTCAACATGTGAGCAACATGAAAAAGGCAAAACAATTCACAAAATAGATGTTATCCCCAATCATGGAAAACATATCTTCTCTGCAGAAATGAAAATATTAATTTGCAGGATAAATTAAATCAGTGGTAGAATGAATCATTTTAACAACTCACCCTTTGCCTAGAGAGCTAGCTTCTTGCCATAAAGGTCTGTAGGGTTTTAAAGGCAGTTTTCTGTTATTTTCTCAAGCACTTTGTGTGCCTTTGTCTCAGAGTGTCATGTTTATCGCTGTGATCAACATTCTGAGTTTCCTTAAAAGACCTTAGCGCCCTTGAACGTTTAATCTGTATGTCTTAAAAGGAAGGACTGTTTAGTAACCAGTTATTACACAAAATAAGAGTTTGGGTTATTTAAACAAAGTATTTTTGCTCCCATCACTAGCTGAGACATTGAAAGGAGATGTGTAAATACTGAGAAAGGCCCTGAGAATCTAGTCTTGCCTTTTCCCAAGATAAGTGTAAACACCCACATTTCCTCTTCAACTTCATCTCCTAAGAGGATTGATCACAACCAGTCAAATACTGTTTGAGTCTTTCTGTTGTGGTTTCAAGTGATATATTGCAGAAAAAGCTACTTTCAATATGAACACTAAAAATGGCTGGTGAACTCACTATAAGTTTTATTCATTTTGACAGGGTGTACCAGGAGAATCCGGTGAACAGGGTTACCAAGGAGAGCTTGGGTATCCAGGCTCACAGGTTGTATCTGGGAGCTTGGTTTTAGTGCTGGAGGATATTTGTTTGAAATTTTAACTTCATTGTTTGATAATAATTTGATGTAAATCAGAATGGCTTTGGATGCCTCCTTTCCAGGGCCTCCCAAAGAAAATTGTACAACCTCTTTTCTGAAAAGATTAAACCACAATAGCTAATATTTATTGACCTCCATGTTCTAGACACTGCCTAAAGCACTTGTATTAACTAATTTAATTCTTCAATGGGAGGGAGGTTATTATCCTCATTTTACAGGAGAAAAATAAAGAGGGAATGGAGAAGTTAGGTAAATTGGCAAGGGTCACACAGCTAGTAGGTGATAAAGCTGGGATTCAAACTCAGGCAGTATAGTTACAAAATCAGTGCTCTTGATTACTGCCTCTGAAGCTGTGTATTCAAATATTATTTAATTTACTAAAATTGTGTTCGTATCTTGGCATAGTTGTGTGCACCTGTCGTCCCAGCCACTTGGGAGGCTGAGGCAGGACGGTCACTTTGAGCGCAGGAGTTCAAGGATGCAGTGAGCTATGATGGTGCCATGGCACTCCAGCCTGGGCAACACAGTGAGACCCCCATCATTCAATTTGGTAGGAAAAATCAGCAAAGTGTTTACAGAGTATCTATTATGCACAGGGCACTCTGTTAATAGACCTGGGACATTCATACCATTAAGGCAAAGGTCCTGCCCTCAAGAAGTTCATCCAGTGGGGTTTTGTTAGGTTGTCAAATGATAACTGGAAATTTAAACTTTCAACCAGTTCTTTCGGCGTTGTCTAAGCATAACCCAAACCTGTCATTCTATAGCCCTCCTGGAACACATTATATGTATTTATTTTAAAAGTCAAATTGTTTTTAAGTATACTCAAATTGAAGAACTTTGGAACAATAAATTTTACTAACATATCGAATCATTCTCCATAGTTAAAAATCCTATGAGTGTCAGATGATAATTTCAGAAGGTATCTGCTGCTCTTAGGCTTGCTAAAGGAACCAAGGGGAAAAAAAATGGGTAGTCAACGTGTAATTAGAGACTATGCTTATTTTACGATGGAAAATAGTATCTGAACTGAAGGGAAAGCAACAAAAAGATGTATATTTTTCCCTTTTATTTTTGATGACTAGCTCAGGACCCCCTACCACAGTTGTGTCCCTGCTTTCCTGTCTATATCCACTTCATTACACAGCTGGTTGGAAGGGAAGCAAGTCATGCTGGGAACCATGAGCAAGATAATCAATGAAACCTCTCCTTAATTCTCACCTTCCCGCTGGGATGCGAGAGTGATGGTCTATTTAAATAGATGATTGTCAATACCTCACCTAGGAGAGTAGAAGCCATGATCAATCAATACTTCTAATAGGAAAGTGTTTCTCAGAAAAGCTGGAAAAATATTAAAGTGTCAAAAATCAGCAAAGTAAAATAGATTGGAGAGAAAATGAGCAAATCCCCAGCAGTGTAGTCAGAGAGATTAAGCCACTTAAATGCACCCTTGGCTCTTGATCAAATCGAAAACACAATCTCTTGTCCTTAACCCTTGTGTGTACAAGGAAAAGGTTCATTCTTCAACGGAGATCAATAGCTTTGCTGCCCTCTCACCACCCTTTTAGGATTTAAAATTAGTTGAGTGAATTCAAATATAAAAGCAATATCCTCAAACTTTAGTACTCATGAGATTCACCTGGAGAGATTGCTTAAAATAGAGACGCTGAGGACTCACACCCTCTGCTTCAGATGGAGTGAGTTTGAAGTGAGTTCTGGGGTGCTTCAGAGTGCAGATGCTCCCTGATTAAAGTTTGATAAATGAGATCATGATGGGTCAGGGCACCTTAATTTGTGCTTCCATTGGCATCCAAGATGATTTTGTGGTTACTTGGAATATAAATGACTCTTTAAAAATTGGTTGAATTTTAATTTCATCTTTGGATCAGGGATCAAGAGGAAGGCAAGGACCACCAGGAACTTCTGGACAAAAAGGCTTAGTGGGCGCTCAGGTAGGTTTGTAAAACAGCTACCATGCAGCTAGTCATTAACACTGGCTGATTCATACCCCTGACTGTTCCTGGATAAATAACATAAAGCCACACTGTTTGTTCGGGATATGGGGATATCAGGAATTTCCAGAAGAGCTAATTTGATGCAGTAGATATTGATCATCTGCTATGTGTCTCCTTCTACTCTAGGTAAGTTGTGGGGATATAGTGATCAATGAGATATGGGTTTAAACCTCAAGGGTATGTAATACAAGTTCATATTTAGCTATAGTAAAAGATGAAATAATAGTACCATATAAAAGTATCAGTAACTAATCTGCTCCTCACAAATATGTAAGGAAGCATTACTATACCAATTTTATAGATAAGGAAGCTGAGGTTAAGGGGAATTAAATGACTTGTCATCTAGATAGTAAGTGTCTGAACTGATGACCTCCAACTTGGCTCTTTCTAGTGCCTGCTCTACTCCACACCTAATATCTTGGGGGAATGTCTTATGATTCATAAGATGCTCAGATAGATTGAGACCGATGATTAGAGTGGCTTCCTGAGGAAGTGAGTATTTGAGATGGCTTAGAAACATGAGCAGCATGATTAGAGTCAGGAATGAGTCTCCATCAGTAAACTGAAAATAGCAGCTCGAAGATGGCCAAAGCCATAGCTCTGTTCTTTTCTGTCTTGATCAGGAAAAAAAATCTAGCCTCATAACTGATTATATTGTTGTCAATCTCAGCTGAAAATATTCTCAATTTGGAGCAGGTGAAAGTCTAGGCTTTTGTTTTCTGGATCTCTTAATCAAATAATGTTTCCCCCTGTAGCATAGAAATGATTCCTTCAATTCTCAGTATGTGGTAGATGTGGCCTCCTGCTCCCCCATCCCAATCCCCCAGCCCATAGTGTAAGTGTGTATATTATACATTTTGTATGTTGGAGGATAGAATTAATTAGTTGTATTAAATATTAAAGGCTAAGCTTCCATCTCTAAGGTGATTCATGAGCATATTCTAGTTACAGACTATTTCAATAACAACAAGAGAGACAGACAGTTAACTTTGTGGCCCTAGTGGTGATTTTGGCCATGATCTTGTTTCAGGGGAATCCTGGGCCTCCAGGGCCAAAGGGTTCAAAAGGAAAAGCTGGACCAAGAGGAGTGAAGGTAAATGTCAGAGAACCCGCTCTTTCTTGATTGTAGCTTAGGAGAACCCCTTGGGTTTTCTTAAGCAAATCTTTACTTATATCATCATTTCCAGTTTACATTTCTGATAGGTTGGTGATTCTATTGACTGAAGGCAAGGCATATAGATGAACATATAGAAAAATGAATCACATATATAAGTAGACAAAGATGTATCGACAGATAGATATACATATGGATTAACCACAAATATAAATGTGCACATTCAAATTTAGAAAAAGTCATAGTAATATAAAATTCTGTAATTGATGTCACATACCTGGTGTTGCTAATTTTCAGAACCAAAATTGTGACTATCTCTGTTAGTTATTCATATTTAACAAAGCCTAGAGAAAAGTATTTACCTTAGGCTGTATGGTATGCTACCAAAACTTGAAAACAGTGACTGTAAAATCTCTGAGGAAAATGACACAAAATTGCCTAATCTCATAGAATAAAATTAATTTGATCTTTTCTCTTTATAATAAAAGGGAGAGCTTGGTGATGCAGGAGAAAGAGGCCCACAGGGTCGACAAGGACCAAGAGGGCAACCTGTAAGTCCAGTTTCTCTGTTTTGGACTCTTGATTAGTTTGCCATTTGTTCTTATTTTACATAAAATTCTAACTTTTTAAATGTATGAAACCACTTTTATTTAGTTCAGAATATAGGTACCAGAGACAAGAAATCAGGCAAATCAGGTAGATATAGTCTAAAAAATCTCAGTGTGCACCAAGCCAAATTTTGATGGCGTCATCTACCACAGCATTAAAGTGTCTTATCTATCTTTTAGATTCCAGTAAGAAATTATGAATAAAGGTTTGATAAACAAAAATGGCACCAACTTGATGTAATAAATTGAAATGGCTTTAACATCATTGCTGTGAACACAAAATTTTAATATTCTTGATGAGTTAAACTCGTGGTTACAAATATGACATGATCACCAGAGCTCTTAAGAATTGAAATAGTTTCTCAGACTTCTTGTATAAATTAAGACTCCAAAGATGACTTGGAATTTATTTTGCCTTCTCACATATTGAAGAGCAAAGTGCCAATGTCTCTCATCTGTTTGACAATGATATTTTATGAGCATTTGAGTCTTTTAGGAATACAGATATGTTCAGTGAAACATTTTTTTTTCCAGGACAACAAATAAGAGAGCCAGATCAGCAAACTTTTAAGAGTATGGGTTGGATTATTCAGAGCATAGAAATAATCTTTGGAGACCAAAGATCATAAAAGACTTCCTTCTACAAAACAACACTTTCAAACACAGGGCTATGCATTTTTACCTTAGTTATCACCCTGAACAGGAGAGCAAGTTAGCTATTTTATGACTATTTTCAAGAGACATCTCCAAAAATAGAGTTCGGGTCTTGGGGGTTGCAGATGCTGGAGTTTCTGCACATCCTTCAGCAAGGAGAAGATGGAGTAACAGCAAATAAACTTCATTATCACCCCCACAAGCCCCTGCAAAGAACTCATTTTTGGCAATCTTCTTTCTCTTATTTTTCTTTCTTTTCTAGTCTTTCAGACTTTCCTGTTTAGACCATAGGAATCTTTTTGTGTCTTCAAATTTTTAATTTTTCTTCTCAACTGATCTACCTGGTTTAGGGGAATTCTTTGCTCATTCAGAAAAAACACCTATAGGGTTTTGAATTTACTCTTTATTACAGGAAGCTCATTGTCTGTCTATACAGATGCTAAGCTCCTTGGTAGTATCATCATTTTCATGATTATCATCATTACCACCGCTGCAACCTCTATCATCATTATCTTCAGCAATAACATCACAATTACCAGCATCATCAACACCACCACCATCACCACCATCACCATCAATATTACCATTACCATCATCACTATCACCACCATCACTATCACCATTATCACCATCACCTCCATCACCATCAATACCACCATTACCATCATCACTATCACCACCATCACTATCACCATTATCACCATCACTACCATCACCATCACCACCACCGCCACTACCATCATTACTACCACAATCACTATCACCATTGTCATCATCACTACCACCACCACCATCACTATCACTATCATCCTCATTATTACCACCACCATCACTACTACCACCAACACCATCATCACCATTGCCACCACCACCATCATTACCATCACCATCATCAGCAACAGCATACTATCACCATCATCACCATTGCCACCACCACCATCATTACCATAACCATCACTATCATCAATCACCATTGCTACCACTATCACTACCATCATCACCACCACCTTCATTATTACCATCAGCACCACTACCATTACTGCCCGCCTGCCGACACCATCACTACCACTGCTACCACCAGCAGCAGACTAATTATCATTTATCAAGTACTGCCTCTGTGCCTGACATTGTGTTAAGCACTTTTCATACACAATCTCAATCTTCCCAACAAGTATACAATGTAGATGATACTATTATCCCTATTTTACAGATTAGGAAACTGAAGTTTATAGAGGTTGTGCAACTTCCCTAGGGTGACTCAAACAACTAACATTGGAACTGCAATAAAAATTAGGGTCTGTCTGGGTTTATAGTCTGTACATTTAACCACTAAACTATATTGCCTATATTCCAATCTTTTTCTCCAAAGTCTGTGCTTTTGTCTGATGATTTACCAATTCTAAAGCTTCTATTTTTACTTTATCTCACAAGGAAAGCAAGTTTAGCCCAAGGGAAACTTTGTACAGTTGTGTATAGCTTCCTACAACCAAGGTATCATCTTGCTGATGTACAGATGGGGGTTTAAAAACCCCAAAAACTTCCTTCTATTGTGGTCTTTCAAAGATTTCTCCAAATCTGAGTATTTGTCCTATGAAGGTAGTCTCCCAGTCTCCATCAAGCCCCATTGTTATCCCTACTTCTTTGCATTGTTGATTTATCCAAGGGTTCAGATACTATTATCAACCAAGTGTTGGTCTGCATGACTCTACAATTCATCTTATATGTCATTTTCTTAGGGTCTTCCTGGTTCTGATGGATATGGACATCCAGGAAGAAAAGGAACAAAGGTGAGGGTAACCTTACAGGACATTCTGAACTAAGGACTATAGTTTTTATTTTATTTTGTTAAAATAAGTGTTATTTTCCAAGTTGTATGCTAGGAACAGTTTGTACATACTTACAAAATGTTTTGGCCACCAGAGCTCCCTCCCTAAAAAGTAAAAATTGATTTTGTCGCTCTCTTATTTAAAAGTCAAACTTCTTCCTTCATCTTCCACATATATGTCAGATATTCCCATCTCAGCTCTGGGAGTGCCAGACCCTTTCTCAACTTCCTTGCCTTTACAAACGCTCGTGTTTTCATTTGGAATGTGCTTCCTGATCTCCATCTCTTGGACAATTTTTACTCATTTTCTAAGACCCACTCAAGTACCAGCTTCTCCTTGTGGAAGCAGCCTTGGTCTTCCCCAGACAGAATTTGTGGTCCTATACTCTGTGTTCTTAAAGCATGTTCATATTTCTGCAGTAGCTCCTTTCTGTCAAGGTTGTATTATAATTTGTTCTTGTATCCCCCAGGCTGTAAACCTGACAGTAGCATTGCACTTTTGTTTTTCTGGAACTGAGTCTGGCAGAGAGTAGGTGCTCAATAAATGTATTTGAATGAATGAGTGCCACTCTCGTAAGAAGCTTGTATTTTAATATGTAGTTAATTGGTCACTGACAGGTCTTAAAGCATGGAGGTCACATGAAACTTGTTGAGCAAATCAAATCTTAATACCCACTGTTATTCTGGATGCTTTAGTCTTCAAGTTACATGTATTGCCTCACAAAATAAGAAATCACTAGGATGTTTAGTGATACTTAGTTGCTTAATGATGTCAGGATTCTGGGCTGGCTTCTCTGCAATTCTCTTGTTTCCCTGTGGCTGCAAGATGGCACCACTGCCATTTTATTGAGCAGAAAAATGCCTCAAACATAGTAAGTTTTCAGTAAATACTATGGAATGATGGGCTATGGGGAACCTCAGTGATCATCTAGCTTAGCTTTGTCAATTTACATTTCAGAAAATTGAGGCTTAGAGAAGTGAAGTAACTTGCCTATGGTCGCACAGCTAGTTAGAGGCAGAGCTGAATGTGGAAGCTAGTCCCTTGAAATCCCATCCAGGTAAACTAAATTTTTCTTTGCTACGGACAAGTTTGCATAGCAGGCAAATTCTGGGTAAAATTCAAATGTGCATTGTTTGGGCTACATGTCAATTTGGAGCTAAGCACAAGGGCAATTTTTGTTTATTGTGATACAGCTAACATTATGGAACACAGATTCAGTCTATATTTGCATGAATTTTTCTTTGCAAGATGTAATGGCCTCATTTTCAATGTCCCATATTGCTGATTGGCCAGTTGAGTACATTTTCTTAATCTGTTCACTCTCCTTCTCTCTGAATTGACTATTTTACACCCTCTCCTCTCTCCTCAAACTTCCAAGATCTGCTTTGTCTTCAATACTTAAAGCAGATGATCATGGCTTCCTATTTCATGAACAAAATTGAAGCAGTGAGAAAAGAACCTCTATAAATGTTCACCACCAAGTAGGCCAACCTACTTGCCTCTGTACCCATACACCCTGCCTTCTCTCCTACTGCTATGGATGAGGGTCCACAGTCTTATCTAAGACTAATCCTTGCCTCCTAGACTGGATTCCACTCCGTTTTACTTTCCGAGGCTCTCGGTCCATTTTTTTTCCCCTGGGGAAAACTCACTGAAGGAGCAGTCTATACCAGTGCTTCCCAACAGGAGTGATTTTGCCCTCCAGGGGACATTTGACAATGTCTGGAGATGTTTTGGTTGTCAGAACTCAAGGAGAGAGTGCTGGAATCTACTGGGTAGAGATGCTGTTTAACATCTTACAATACACAGGACAGCCCCTCCCAACAAAGAACCATCAGGCCCAAAATATCAGTGGCACTGAGGTTGAAAAACTGACACTTGAGCCTTCACTTCTTGACCCTCCCCACTCAACTACATCTGCTTTTGTTGAGGTAAACGCCATGTTGCTAAATTCAACAGTCACTTCTCTGCCCTCATTGTGCTCCATCTCTCAGCAGCATTTGACAGATTGATCATGGGTTTATTCCCGATTTTTTCCCTCCCTAAACTTCCAGTACATTCTATTTTCCTGGTTTTCACTGTCTTCTCTTTCTCATCCTGCTTTGCTAGATCTTCTGGATGTTCTTGACCTTTAAGTATTGGAAGACTCAAAGCTCTATTCTCTTACCTTCTTCCTTCTTTACTCACCTCTCAGGTGGCATTTCTTGGGGAAATCCAGTTCCATGTCATCAATAACCATCTATCCTGTTATCTCCACTTTATTTCTCCCGCTTGGACCGATATCCCAAACTCTAAAAATATTTCCACTTGGTCATCTAACAGGCATCTTAAAATCGGCATGTCCCCAAACACATTTCTTCTTGTTTTTTTGTTTGTTAACCTTTTATTACAGAAAAATTCAAAAATAAATAAAAGTGGAGACTAGTATAATGACACTTTCCTGCCTCACCCCATGTTCCCATCACCTAATCCAAACAATGAACAACCCCTGGCCAATTTTGTTTTGTTTTATTTATACTCCCACTCACTTATCCTCCCACCATGCTGATTTCATACCCTTCCTTCCTCCTCAAACCTCCAAGACCTGCTTTGTAGTCCATATTTAAAGCAGATGATCATGCTTCGTATTTCATTAAGAAAATAGGAGTGAGGAGAGAACCTCTACATATGTTCACTTACTGTAGGTCATGTAATATATGGGATTTACTTCAAGATAATCATATATTCCATGCATAGACATTTCAGGTTGCATCTTTAAAAGATTATTTAAAAATGTAACCACAATACCATTCTTACATCAAAGAATTAATAATAATCCTTTAATATTGTCAAATATCCAGTCAGCCAAAACTGTTTCCCTTAACAACCTGCCCCTCCTCCAGCCTTTCCTATCTCGGGGACTGGAAACTTCATCCATCCAGTTGCTCAAGACAGACACTTGCAGCTGTCATTGATAAATCTTTTTCTCTCACTCCTACATTTAATCCATCAACAAATAGTGGTAAGTCTATCTTCAAAGTACAACCAGCATTTTATCATTTCCCACAACTGCACTGCCACCCTCTGGACCAAGCCAACATAATTTTCCATCTGTGTTATTGCAATAGCCACTGAACTGGTCTCTCTGCTTCCACCCTTGCCTCATATAGTTAGTTCTCCATGCACCAGCTAGAGACATCCTTAAAAACATAGTCAGATCAAGTCATTCCCTTATTCAAAGCTCTTCTGTCATTCTCCATGTCACTCAGAATAAAACCCACTGTTAACATGGCCTATAAGAATTTATACAATGTGGTCTCTGTGAACTCTTTGACTTCATCTCCTCCTGCCTGCCCTCCTCGCTCCATTCTGCTTCAGTGTTCCTCAAACATAGCAGCACATACTCTTCCTCTTACTTCAGGGTTTTTTTTTTTTTCCACATACTCCTCCCTCTGCCTGGAATGCTCTTCTCCCAGAAGTCTGCTTGTTTTCTCACTTCATGCTGGTCTTCACCCAAATGCCACCTTTATAAAAAGGCTTTGCCTGACTACCTCATATAAAATAGTGCCTCCTCATCCTTTGATACACATAATTCTTTATTCCTTAATCCCCTTTCTGGAATAACATTGATCTGTTTCTCACATGTTATATATTTCTTTGTTCATTTTCTTCCCCTCTAGTATGTAAGTTCCATGAGAGCAGGAACAGGTCTTTGTTCTGTTCACTGCTGAATTTCCTGTGCCTAGAGAAGTGCTTGGAAGATAGGACATGCAAATGGATATTTGTTGAATGAATGATTGCTTTGTAGTATGCCTTTGGTTCTGACAATGAGCACCTGCTTCCCAACACTCAATGTGGTGCCCTTGCACTTGGTTTCTGTTGGATTAAACCTCAGGTTATTTAAGCTGAGAGATAAAAATGCCCTACAGAAGAAGTTTCATTACACAATATGCTAGAGAAGGGGGAAATTTGTAAAATTATTTATGAGTTGTTTCATGTTGAATTAGAGATATGAAATATGGCCACTTGAGAGTAGCTCAAGATAACAACTGTTGCTATAGTTGTTTTTCCTGGCACTTGTTTTGAGTGTATTTCCTCAAAATTATAGCGTCTTCTTTTTCCCCAAGGCATGTGAAGGAAATTTCTTAATCAGATGACATTAAACAAGACCTTATCTCATTTCTGACACTGGGGTGAACCTGGATTATAGTATCTTCTTTTCCCCCAAGGCATGTCAAGGAAATTTCTTAATCACATGATATTAAACAAGACTTTATCTCATTTCTGGCACTAGGGTGAACGTGGATTCCCTGGCTATCCTGGTGTCCAAGTAAGAAGATATATTTCTGGGCCTGGCAACTGGTAGGCAGCATGTGTCATTTGTTTGTGCTTGTTTTTCTTTACACTCAAAATTCTGCTTTTGATTCTGTTAAGGGAGAAGATGGTGACCTGGGCCAACAAGGAGAAAAGGGGGCAAAGGGAATAAGAGGGAAGAGGGTAAGAATCAAAGAGACTTCCTAAGATCTATAGAAGCCCATATCATTACGGAAGTACATTTTCACTGGGTTAGGACTTCTTAGCAGGAAGCCTATTCCTGCTCAGTCAATGCTCATTCCACACCTTCCTTTGGCTATCCTACTCCCCACTTAATCCCACTCTCATTTATCTCCTGAATACGAATACAGTTTACCAAGCCATAACAACAGAAAATCCAAGTTGGGAGTTTTGGTTTTACAATACCAACCTTTTAAAACCAAGTTTGGGAGCACCTCTGTCTTTGGTAAGTCTAGACATCATGTGGAAGGATATTGTTTTAGCTGTTGAGCAAACATTGCTGTTTCTTTAGGATTCTTCCAAGCCTTAACTTTCTCTTGCTTTTTTTAGAAAAGATTCTTGAGAATGTAGTTGCCATCTTGGTGGACTTTGAGTCCACTGTGCTTTATACAGTCTCCGATTAAAAACCAATTCCTTTATGTTCTGAACAGTCAGCCTTGAATGACCACAATCACTGGCAGCTCTTTTTGAAAAGAGTAAGCCTGTGGATATCTAACATCTTGGTAATGTTTAGTTGATCATTGTTAGACACCAAGATCTTCTAGGAAATGGACTAGTGTTTACTGTAGGAAAGAGGAAAGGAAAGAGAATGTATGTTTTCTAGGTACTCAAGAATTAGTACTTTCACACATTGGCAAGGACGTAAAGAAATATTTGATCTGTGCCTAACTTGGCTTGCTGCTGCCTATGGTTGCTCTAATCAACTAACTTTTATTTCTAGTTTCAAATAAAAAAAGATAAAGGATTCACTGTATTTAGATAACACTGTGTCATTTCAAATACTTGGAAGATGAGCAGTGAACCTATGGCCACCATGTGCCTTTTCTGAAACACTAAGAATCAGAAGGTGGTAGGGAAATTTTTCCTTTTTCCTGATGTCAGGCCCTTAATGTAGACATCCTGCATTATTTTTATTATATAACCTCAAGACTCAACGGAGTGTATTGAGTCATCTTTTAACGATCTGTCTAGAAGTGTGTATTTGTGTGTGTATGTACACATATGCATGACTGAGGTTGGGCATACAGGGGGGAATTTGGATGGTTCCCATAAAATGACCTCCCTCTCTTTCTATTCTCCATGTCTTATCCCATAGATATATAGTTTATAAACTAACTGGTCAATAGCAGACTCATTGGCATTAGGAATAATAACATATCAAAGTGGATCTGATGGTTGTAATCAAGGAGGAATCTTATTCTTCTGGCTTGGTCTTTTTTTAGGGTAATGCTGGCTTTCCTGGATTAGTTGGAACTTTAGGTTACCAAGGCCCACCAGGACAAATGGTAACATGTACCCTTCTTTTTCCTTTTGTTTTCAACTGTTGTATAAAAATAAATAAAGATTTGATAAGAGGCATCTCTTAAGAAATGAACTTTTGGGACATACAGTGGGATTGACATAGAGAAAGGGGCAAATTTTCCTACAGCATATTAGCTTCAAGTTGTTATACAGTATATTGATTCAATATATATTTTTACTTGAACATGGGGAAGATATTAGAGTGGCTGGAGATTTATGAACCTGTCTAAATAAATAAAATGATTCATAAAATTCACTGAAGAGTGAGTTTATCATTGCAAACAAGATGAGCAACAATATTTATGCAAAAACCAGCAGGAAAACCTAACAAAATACAGTATTTATATAATCTTAACTAACAATGTTGCAAGTCCATGAATATTTTTAAAATTCCCTGGAACATCATTTGATATGAAAGGAAAGACTTTGAGGCTGTGATTCTTCTGCTCTATGCCTTGTCCTAGGAGGCCAGACTATCAATCCACGAGGGATGGCACAGTAGGTCAGCCTTGGATTGAACCTGGTGGTCTCACTGCAGTCTAGGGTTTACTGGAGAGGTGTGACAAAGTCAGAAAATAAAAATTTTAGTGATAAAAGGACCATTCATGGTATTTCTACAGAAGAGGAAACAAAGGCTGAGATGCTGAGATAATTACAGTGACCTGCCTGAGGTCACAAATTACAACCTTGTAGATTCTAAATAAGAACAATGATCTCTAGACTCCCAGAGGTTGGAGCCATGAAGCTCTAATCTGAAGGTTTCCAGAGAAGACTTCTTGTTCAGTATCAGGGCAGAAAAAGGGTGGTGCTGGATGGCCTGAAGAGAAGATGAGGGAGGAACTGGGGTCTACTTTAGAACTATTGATGAATGGTCCTGGGATCTGGGATAGCCCTTTTTCTGAATGTGATCCTAAGCTATGGTTTCAAAATGACCTGGTCCTCTAGAAGTGTTTCTATCTAGGCCTTCTGGACTCAGAGGTCTTGGATACATCTCTTAGGCACTTCCTAAAGGAGTCAGACAGAACTCTGGGGCTGGGAGTGAAGGACAGAAGATGGTCTATGTAGTGTGGTGGAGTTATTTTGCCAACTCTGTAGAAGAATGTGTTGGATCTCAAAATTTTGCATTTTAAACTCAAGTTTCCATTCTTTCCAGGGTATCAAGGGCCCCAAAGGTTTGGTAGAAATGACGGTAGGTGAAGATTTTAATTCCAAATGTTATTCTTTTTTTTTTTTTTTTTTGAGGTGGAATATTGCTCTGTCGCCCAGGTTGGAGTGCAGTGATGCAATCTCAGCTTATTGCAATTTCTACCTCCTGGGTTCAAGAGATTCTCCTACATCAGTCTCCCAAGGAACTGGGACTACAGGCATGTGCCACCATGCCTGGCTAATTTTTGTATTTTTAGTAGAGACAGGGTTTCACCATGTTGGCCAGGCTGGTCTTGAACTCCTGACCTGAAGTAATCCACTTGCTGCAGCCTCCCAAAGTGCTGGGATTTTACAGGCATGAGCCACTGCACCCAGCCAAAACTTTATTCTTCTTAGAACACAAAGCTTTCCACTTTCACAAAATAGAAATCTGTTAATCTTAAAGATTCTTTAGTTTTTTCCTCTTACAAATTCTGTTAGTACTTTAAGTTTATAGACTTTACTTTGAAATGTTATCACCAAGTCAAATAAAAATAGTAGAATGATATTTTAAATCCAGCAGGGAATTGGGATGTTTTGGAGCAACACTAGTTGATGTTAAAAAAAGAAAAGACTTTGAGGCTGCTACCTTTCTGTAATGTGACTTTTTGTAAAGCTCAAAAACTGCTTATAAAGTATTTATAAACCCACACACAGGCTTTTGTATAGCACAGGTTTTTGTGTTTCATGGAACACTTGAAAATAGTCTCAAAAGTTATGATAGTGTTTCATCTCCCAAGTACAAAAATACTATTAGGCAGGGGGTGGGGGGTGTGGAGGCAACTGAGGAGCAGGAAGTGATGAGGTCTGGGATGGAGGGAAGAACAGAACAGAGAGGAAGGGATCAAGGGAAAGAAGCGTAATGACTAGGTGAGGTGGTAGGAGTGCCTGTCTTGGCAGTCATTCTAAAGAAGTGATATAGGAATTGCTACTATAATATAGAGTGCCAAGAATTGAAAGCATTTCCCTGCATTCTCTGCTGAGATTCTTTGTTTTCAACTTCCTCAAAATCAGGTTTGATTCCATTACTTTGTAAGGCAGATTTAAAAAATGGGTACCCCTTATCTACCTGTCTCCAAAAGTATGGGCACTATATTGCACACACATCTTTTAAATCTTTTAAAATATCGACTGGATTTGGAAATGTAATTGTAGAATAGTCTCATCTGCTCTGACAATTTTGGGGTTTTCTGTTGTAGATTAAAAAACTTCAGATAGGCACTGATAACATCCATATGACATTCCTAAGTGACAAGTGTGAATAAAAATATACTCCAAGTTAAATACTTTTTCCTTTTTCCTGTTTTCCCACATCTTTTTAACAGCCTTGCAAAATTGTTGATTTCACGCGTGAAAACTGCCGTAAGTTGTTTTGGAAAAGGCCTAAAAGGAGCCAGTGGTATGAGCTGGGGATGGATTACGGATTAGGGGCATAAGTCACCTGAGGCTTTGGCTGAGGTTTGGAAGATGCCTTATTCATTGTGAAAGGCTCTTATAAATTCATACAGTGGGCTCAGTTCCCCTTTAGGTAAGTAGTCTTTCCCAATGTGGTCTCAGAAATAAAATGGATTGAGAGCATGCCATCTCAACAATGAAGAGAAGCTCCACTGAGCAGTGCTGTGCCCCAGGAGATGTTGTCACTGCACACCTGTGTGCCTACATCTCGCTGCTTCTTATCACAAAACAAAACAGAGGAGCTTTGTTCTTTTTATGTAACCCTTTTAAATAAGAGGGATCAATAGTCACCCTTTGAGAAGAAATCTGTCTTATTTTATTTACAGTTGTGTTTGAAAAATGGAATTATGAACAATCCAGTCTTAAGTAATGTTTTGTCATATCCCCAAGTTGGAATTTATTTACTATGTTCAATGCATTCCAGGATATTTGTGTCCTAGGATGTGTACATTTATCTACTTAATGGCCACGGGGCGAGAATGTTGATTTGGCAAATTGCTTAGTTTGGAAGTTTGGGTTTTCTCTACAATCATCCCACCTTTCTTACCCTAACCCTTCTATGTTCTCTCTGTTCCCATCCAGTGGCTGTTCAGGGAGATTCTGGAATTTTTTTTCCTCAGAATCATAAAGAATAATATCATCAGTGTGATTATGAATTAAAAGAGTGTCAGAGTTGACCATATAAAAAGTTAAAACCCTTTTACACTGAGGGATGCCATGAAGTCAAAAGTAAACAGAAAAGTGGGAAAAAATAACTTGCAATATAAGCAAAGGACACAGGCAAAGGAACTAACTTCCTTACTATACCATGTTGAAATACAAAAAATTGCTACTGCTCAATCATTTTTATCTACAAACACAGACATTGCATAATGGCTAAACCTAAATGTAAAAACAAAAAAACGAACACCACTTTTAAGTTGAAAATGGGCAAAAGACAGGAAAGAAAATATACAGATGTACAGTAAACCTGTAAAAATGTTCAACTTCGCCAGAAGTCATAGAATACAAATTAAAACAATGAGATACCCATTTTGTTTCTCAGATTGGAAGTGTTTTAAAAATGCCAGAAAAATCCCTATTCAGATTGAGAAATGTATAAGATTACACATTGCTGGTGTGAGTATAAATTGGTACAACTTTTCTGAAGAGCAATTGGCTGGACCATGCATATAAAATCAATACTTATAGAGATTTCTATAGGGCTATGATTGGACAGATGTGCACAGATACATGTACAAGTATGCTCCTCATAAAGGATCACCTATATAGTAGAATAGATGATATTGCTCTAAATTTATTGATGGAAAAAATCATTACATACTAAGTGAATAAAGATTCAGAATAAATATATCTTAAGCTCCAAGTTTTATCAAATGAAATGAAATAATTCTATATTTATTATTTATATATATACATACACATGATGAATTAAGGGTAATTCTAATTTTTTGGTTTTTTTTTAGTATTTTTTGAAAATATGTTACTTGTATACACACACTTATATATAATATATATAGTTTATAATTAATATATATGTAATTTTATATGTGTATATATTATATACATGTGTATAATATAGTTTCAGAATAGCTCAATGTATTCGTTAGGTTTAAGTTCAGTTGAATGTGACCTAAATCCTCAGTAACAGTGGTACAAATGTTATTTCTGAAACCATAGGCTGGAACTAGTCAGTTCAGGTTGATATGGAGCCTGTGGTGGTCGGGGATCAGTCCCTTTATATTTTCCTGCTTTGCCATTGTGTGTATATGGGGTGTTCTATTTCCCAAATCACTTCATGGTCTGAAAATATATCAGGCTTCAGTCATCACGTCTATATTTCAGCCACCAGGGAAAGGAAGGGAAAGGAGAAGAATATTTTTTCAAAGTTTTACCTATCATCTTTCCTATTCTCTTACCTAGAACTTGTAAGATGGCTAAGTTGGGAAATGTTGTCTTTGTTCCAGGCATCCATAGGGCCAATCCAAAATTGGGGGTTCCATGACTATAGAAAAAAAGGGAGAATGGATTCTGGGGGACAAGTAGAGGTCTCTGCCACACTCAGCAGGAACCTGAGAAGGCCATGCTTGAATTTCTCAGAGGAGATGGTTTTTCCTATTGAAGCACACACATGGGAAAGGTGCCACTGCCTGCATAAGCTAACAATGTCTTCTTTTCTCTCCAAAATAATTTCCCTTCCAGCTTGTTCAAGAGGTAAATAATATTCCTTCTTACTCACTTTAATCCTTACCTTTTTTGAGGCATTACAGAACATCTTAAATCTGTATATCTGTTGTCTCAAGGTATTTCCAAATGCCCAGTGTTCCCAACCGAAGTGGCCTTTGCCTTGGACATGTCAAATGATGTCTCCCCGTTGGATTTTGAGAGGATGAGAAACATTTTATTGTCTCTGTTGATGAAGATTGAAATAAGTGACAGTAACTGCCCAACAGGTGCCCGTGTGGCCATTGTTTCCTACAATGCCAAAACCAATTACTTGGTTCGTTTCTCAGACTACAAGGAGAAGGCTGCACTCCTGGAGGCTGTCAGGAACATCCCCCTGGAGCACTCATCTGGCCGCAGGAACCTTGGGGCCACCATGAAGTTTCTGGCGAGACACGTGTTCAAACGTGTACGCTCAGGTCTTCTCATGAGGAAGGTGGCTGTGTTCTTCCAGGCGGGCTGGGCCTATGATGCAGCTTCCATCAATACAGCCACACTGGAGCTTGCTGCAGCGGACATCATCCCCGCGGTCATCACCTTCACAAAGGGGCACAACCTCCCAGACACTCTGCTGGTATGTAGGGGGAACCACAAGTGGGCAGGGAGCTGGGGGCCCTAACACTTGGTTTCTACCTCTCCATCAAGGACCACATGAGGAATGAGAGGTGTTCAGGGAAAGAATTTCCCTGGAATTGATATGTATACCAGGAGTGAGGGCTCTCAGTATGGCCCATATACTGGTACTACTCCTAGTACCCACTGGCTATTCTTGAGCACCTATTCTGTGCTATGTGCCTCATAAATATTATCTTTACTTAATGAGTCCCACAACTCTGTAATGTAGGTGTTATTGTTTATTTCCATTTCAGGGATAAGTAAACCAAGGCTTATGGAGGTTAAATATATCATCAAAGGCCAAATAGTTAGTTAGCAGCAGATATTGTCTGCCTCCAGAGCCTGTGCTTAACCACTATGCTAAACTATATCACTGGGGGTCAGAGAATATAATTTTCTTCCTTTTTAAAAACCAGAGTATAACATACATACTCATGTAACAAAGTGGACAAAGTGCAGTGATTTTAAATATACAGATGGATTAATTTTTATGTATGTTTAAATCCCTGTGACTGATACGTAGTTCAAGCTATAGAACACATTCAGCATTCGGTGCCCTGTAAGTTTTATTCAAGTTCTTTATGCAACCACATACTCCCCATGGTAACTGCTTCTCTGAGTTCTATCACAATCAAGTACTTTTTGCCTGTTCTGGACCATCATATACATTGGGTCATACTGCATGTACTTGTTTGTATCTGGCTTCTTCCAGCCGACATGGCATGTCTTCTTGTTCCTCCATGTTGTGTGTGTGGGTAGTTCGTTCTTTATTATTCCTGTGCAGTATTCCATTGTATGTATACATAACCCTTTATTTACTTATCTATTCTCCAGACTTTACTTTCCTAATTGAAACCCATGCAACACACTTTCATGGAAGATCTGGGGTGATTTATCAGAACGAAGGGCGATTTTCTTCTTAAGAGATTCCAGGCTGCTTATGAATGTTAGGTTGGATTATGGGACGTTGACAATATTTCACCAGTTTTGAGCTGCAGAAATTGAAATGTTATGTGGCTCAACATAATAGCTAATCAATTCAGCCCATTTAATTTTCTCTGAAGGTTCAGTGTGCAGCAGAAGTGGTAGGTGAGAGATTTTGTTGCGACAGCTTTGAATATGCGTCTAAGAATCAATAAAGTTGTGACAGCTTGCAAACTGTGGGGAAGGATGGACAAAATATCTCGAGTTGAGGAAGCTAAAATGCAGAGGATGAGTTCCTTGTTCATCCTTACATCCCTGTTGCTTAGTGTGATGTCTGTACAGGGTGGGTTGGTAGGGTACATCCTCAACAACTGCTAGAATGGATTTATAAAGACGGTATAAACAAATAACTAATTAAATTAGAGATGCAGCTTTTGTCTTTGGTTCTTTCATCAATAATGAGGTGCCTTTGGACAAGTCTCTTCACCTTTCTTGGTCTTATTTTACTCAGCTCAAAAATGGAGAGGGGGTTGCAACTAGTTATTATCCAGGCTCCCTTCCAAGTGTAATTATCAAAGCGTTTATTTCTGAGGAAGGGATTTCCTTAACATTTGGAGAGTGACTCCTGGGGTGTGGTCACATCCCTCCAATGCTCATCAGTGCTGCTCTCTGAGAGGGGATCCTGGGCAGACAGCGTTGGGATCTTGCATACAGATGATCCTTTGTTGTGATGTTCTGGCCCTCTTAGTTGCCGTAGGTTCTGAGTAAAGGGATATCACTGTATGTGACAAGGACATGCCAGCTTGTGTACTTGAACCTCAGTTCTGTCATTTCTTTCTTTTTTTCTTTTTTATTGTACTTTAAGTTCTAGGGTACATGTGCAGAATGTGCAGTTTTGTTACATATGTATACATGTGCCATGTTGGTGTGCTGCACCCATTAACTCGTCATTTACATTAGGTATATCTCCTAATGCTATCCCTCCCCCCTCCCCCCTCCCCACAATGGGCCGCAGTGTGTGACGTTCCCCTTCCTGTGTCCAACTGTTCTCATTTTTCAATTCCCACCTATGAGTGAAGCATGTGGTGTTTGGTTTTCAGTTCTTGAGATAATTTGCTGAGAATGACAGTTTCCAACTGCATCCATGTCCCTACAAAGGACATGAACTCATCCTTTTTTATGACTGCATAGTATTCTACAGTGTATATGTGCCACGTTTTCTTAATCCAGTCTGTCATTGATGGACATTTGGGTTGGTTCCAAGTCTTTGCTATTGTGAATAGTGCCACAATAAACATATGTGTGCATGTGTCTTTATAGCAGCATGATTTATAATCCTTTGGGTATATATCCAGTAATGGGATGGCTAGATCAAATGGTATTTCTAGTTCTAGATCCTTGAGGAATCGCCACACTGTCTTCCACAATGTTGAACTAGTTTACAGTCCCACCAACAGTGTAAAAGTGTTCCTAATTCTCCACATCCTCTCTAGCACCTGTTGTTCCCTGACTTTTTAATGATCATCATTCTAACTGGTGTGAGATGGTATCTCATTGTGGTTTTGATTTGCATTTCTCTGATGACCAGTGATGATGAGCATTTTTTCGTGTATCTGTTGGCTGCATAAATGTCTTCTTTTGAGAAGTGTCTGTTCATATCCTTTGCTCACTTTTTGATGGTTTTTTTTTTTTT